TAGTCAGTCAGAATAAAAAGTAAATTATGTCATGATTGTGTTACTCTTTGTTTTTTGTTTTTTATTGAATGTACAAATAGGTTGTAATTATGACCATATTTGTTGGTCTATAGTGCTGGATCTAGAAACCCACTACTATTGATAAATTATAAATTTTAGCTTTTGTTAATTTCTAGTTTAAGTGCTTAAGCTTTAAGGTTTAATATTGACAATAACAATGAAGATAACAATGAATGGCTGAATGAATGTATATACATAAGAGACCAAAAGTTTGGACACACCTCATTCAAGAGTTTTCTTTATTTTCATGACTATGAAAATTGTAGATTCACACTGAAGGCATCAAAATTATGAATTCACAATTCACAACACATGTCATCTCAAGGCACTTTACAGTTCACCAGATCGTAGTCAAACTTATTCAGAGTTTTATATCTAAAAAAAACCATTTGATTGCATCGACTCATTGACTGGAAGGCAATTGCTCACACTAAGCATGCTTGTAGTGACAGTGGAGAGGAAAAACTCCCTTTTAACTGGAAGAAACCTCCAGCAGAACCAGACTTTGTGTGAGCAGTCGTCTGCCAAGGCAGTTTGGGGTTTAAGGAGACAGAAGCAGGTATAGAAAATGCAAAACGGTGCTACGATAGATGCTTAATCATGGAATATTGTGATAATCCATGATATTTTAATATTCTCTCTTCTTTTTCTTCTGCTGTGTTCATCGTGCTATTTAGTACTTTACTCTAACATTATTTTCACAGATGCATCCCCTTTAGTAGGTCTCTCTTGAAGGGAACTCGTTCCACTGGATTTTTAAGGGCCGTCAGGGGGAAAGAGTTTGGGTACCAGCAGGATGAGTTGTTTTCTAAACAGATTTATATTAAAACTATTTCCTCTCCGATACAGATATTTCAACGTAGAGGACTGATGAAAACCCGATTCAATATTGGCACAATCATACAAATTTTTATTAATTATTTTCTTCAGCGGAATAAGGGAAAGGGTTTATTATGTGATGTTATTTAAATAGAGAACAATAGTCAACAATTACAGCAAATAACCCATATATTATTAACCAATGGGTTACATAAACTCTAAACAGAAGCAGTGTTTCTATCACCATGCTAGTATTGATAATTTTAGATGCAGGCCTATTTATTCCCATATTTAGTTTTGAATGATTTCCAATATCAATATCGCATCGAGACATCTTTAATTAATATTGTTATGAGAAAAGCTTTTTCTCTGTTGCCTTCTAACTTCTACACCTCTTACTTCTCTTGTAGTATTATTACTTGAAAGTCAGCTGCAATAATTAATAAGCAATTATTTCATCATTCTATTTCTATTAGGGAGGAGTTGGTTTAATTAAGAGCTTCATTAAGTTAGTTCATTAATTTCCCCCCAGGTGCCCTGGATTCACAGGAGAATATCAAATCAATTCTGCTGCCTATTATTTAATACCGATTGAAACAGTTAGTGCGTTAACGGGGAGGTTTGCTTCAGTTTCAGCCTCCAGTAGCAGGTTGTCAGTTAGTTTTGTAGATGAGAAGAGACTCCAGAACATGTTCTCATGTAAGTTTGATTGGTGCAAAATCCCATGCATATGTTACAGGAAGCAGGAACCAACAAAGCTTTGAACCGTACGTTTAACTCCTTCCTGGTCCTTTCCTCCTAATTTCACAGAATTTGCTGCATATTGCATCTCAAACCCTCTGCCTGCCCTCCAGCTCTATCCGTTAGCTGTCAGCCTGACGCCTCTCTGGGATGATGTGTGCAGGACGCTCTCCATCATTGCCACAGAATTGCATATCTGCTTTACTTTGACACATCCGAGTGACACACTCACCCATTAACGCCACGGTGTCACCTGGCTTGTTATAACTGTAACTGCAGTACAGCGGGGTTCACAAAATGCTGACTGCACGGGACGCAATTAAGTTTCCAGAATAAGGGATCCTTTACCTTCCTTTTCCTTTGCACAGATTTCCTTCTGCTAAGAGAATAGCTAAGAGATCGCCCAGCTCTTCCGCCTCGAAATGCATCATGATGGATGTGAGATGTTGCAAAGGCACCATAGGACAAAGTGTTGGCTCACACCATCAATCACTCATGCGAAGCAGATGACACAATTATGCTCCTCTGTCTTTCTCATCCAGCCGCGAGTTTATCAGGGCTGCCCAGAATATTTAACAGAGAAAAGGGCGCACCCGTGGGATCTCATTTGCACAGGTGTCCATCTGGTAGAAGTTGTCTGGGATAATCTCCACATCATGTCAGATTTGCATCAGGGCTCCATGAAAGCAGCACCCTTATTGTAAGAGAAGCAAGCAGAGCCGGCCAGTTCAGAGGGGCGAGGGATTTTAAAGCTGATACTGTAGGGAGGAACCGCATGCGCGATACTAATCCACAAGGCCGTTAATACAGCACAATTATGGAAGGATTTAACATGTTTGTAATTGTTTGTTGGTTCAGCTCAATTTGTGTAACCAGCTTTAGTTGGAAAATTAGCAGTGAGATTTTCCCTAAATACTGCCAATTTGTTTGGTCTTTAAACCAGCAGGGATTTGCTGCAGTTAGCCTGGAGTACTTGTGAACTGTAACAGCCCTATTAGCCAGTTTGGGCACTGAAAAGGTGCTTCCATTGGATTTATCCACAACATTTGCTTCTGATCTCTTTCAAAAAGCACAACTTTTACAGTGAATCAATGCAGCGATTGATTTCTGCGTTCTCTTAAGAACTGCTCAAGCAGCAGCACCAGTCTCAAACTTTATTTCAGCCTGAAGGAGATGTGGTCAGTGTTATTACAAACCTCTGCACAAACACAAGAGAGGGCTTAGTCTGATTGATTTAGTGGTTTCGAACAAGTTTCTCTTGTAAAATAATTACAAATATTATAGAATACATGAAAAAATTATAAATAGATGGTGTATCTGCACTGACTGGGATTCTTACATGAATTATCTTAGAATCATCTCTGACAAAATCCTGAAAAAAATTGTCATCTCCTGATTGCAGGGGTTTTCTGCACATCCTCATGCTGGCAACCTTCCTTCAGCTACACTGGGGGGGATCACAGTCCTCCCCCTGCAGTACTGAATTTCAGAAGGCCACCCTTTTTCTTGATTAAAATCATTTTAATCTGTTATTAAAGACTTGACCTGAGGAGGGAAAAATGGCTTCTTAACAGTTGCGATAGATACTTCAGACAAACAGAAATTTCCATTAGCACTGACAACATGAAGGATATAACACATCTTAACTGATTGAGACCTAAGGCCTGAATTGATGAGGCTTTCTAAAGCTTAAAGCAAGATAATGGAGTCACTTCCAGTCCTCTGATATACGTCTCCAAATAGCCTCCAGAACTGTTCCGGGTGATGCAACACAGTCACAGTAAAGAAAGTTTTACCTTTTGCAACATACTAGATGACATGCATCCAATGCAAAACCTTTTCGATGTTTTGTAGAGGTTAAAAAAACAACACTTCCTCCAACAGAATCTAGAAGTATCTCCTAAAAGCATATCTAGAGAATTTGCAGCACAGGTGCACCCATATAGATTAGATTAGATTCAACTTTATTGTCATTACACAGGTAGAGGTACAAGGCAACGAAAAGTAGTTTAGGTCTAACCAGAAGTGCAATTGCACCAAGTGCAGGGTAAATAATGGTTCCATAAGTATAGGACAAGTGTGGTTGGAGGGAATACGATTTTTTTTCTTAATATCAGATATCTTACCCTACAGCTTATTTGTCACTGAACTCCTGTTGTCCACTTCTGCACAAAAGCAAAAACCATTAAATACCTTTTAATTCTGTCATTATGTGAGATTAAAAAAAACATTTACATCCGTAACAATATCACACATGTATTCTACCCTGTAATTTATCTCAGCTATAATCTGAGCAGTTTGCTTGTAAAGTCTGGAGTCTTCAGCAGTGTTGTTTTTGACAGCCATCAGGACGAAACTATTATTAGTTTTGGTCACATTTTAGTCATTATGATATGTGATGATGAAAGAAGAAAATTATAGGAACCTCTTTGATATGGAATTTAAATGAACACCAAGATTTTTTACTTTATTTTCTGAAATAATTTTAATCCCATCCAAATGAAGTGACCAACTAGTGACTAGTGTTCTGTCAGACACCCAGAAACATTCTGGAGTATTTTCACGCTGCCGCTGCTGCCATGATCCATCTGTGGTCAAGCAGAATGAGCACCGCTGCACAGCAGTTGGATTGCATGTTAGAAGCAGGACGCAGCAGCATGCCTGATACTGCTGAGTAGATTACAGCACAATCATGCAGTTTAAATGTTTGACTGACAACCCACTAACTTTTATCTAGTCTGGTCTCGTCGACTAAAACTCACACCAATAACTCAAGTTTTCGTCAGCAAAGATCCATGTTTAGCTCGTCAGTTGTCATTACTGTCATGAAAAAAAAGAGGATAAACGAAATAATTTTGTTACATCGTTGACGAAAACAACACTGGTCTTCATTAAATTTTATTCCACCTCTGCACTGTGTTTTAAATTGTCTTAATGTTTATGACCTGAGCAGTTGAAATAACAGGTATAGGTATAGGAACAGGTCATTTACTGTTGCTATACCTGACTCTGCAAGCATGAAAACAAAAGCTACTTCAGTTCCTAAGAGCCTTTATTTGGCTAACCATCCTGCTCCACACACATAAAAAAATCTGCAATTAAAATCTAATGCTACATATATTTGGATCATCTCACTAAAGCATTTGTTTAATCTGTGATTGCTCATATTCTAAATAATTAAAATAAAAAAACAGACCCAAATGTAAAAAATAAGCTGTTTTTGCATAGGAAGGTCGTTTTCTACTGTGCTTTATTCAGTGACTCACAGCTGTGATTCAGAGCCTACCTCACAGCTCTTTGCTTTGGAGGCCTTTCAAGGTTTCAGTATAATCCCTTTTTCTTCCCTCTAACCATTTATTTTTTTCTTTATGTCATTTTAGGAACTCCACATACTGCATGAAGGTGTCCATATCTCTCTTGGTGGCCGAAAACGACACAGATCTTTGCTACAACTCAAAAATGAGATTCTTCGAGAAGGCAGAATTAAGCAAAAATAAAGACATCACCTGCCCTGACATTGAAGACTTCATACAGCCGGGGGTGGAACCTAAAATAGTTTGGTACAAGGTAAAAGATACTCGATTCAAATTGTGTGTTTTTGTACCTTTCATTATGCAATTTCAACCTTTTCTCCATTGAAAATGAACTCTTAATTTGTTTATTATCATCATTATTATTTATTTATTTATTTTATCCTTTTATTATTGGTGAATTATTGCCTTTTTTGAAAACAAGATTAAGATGCACAATTGTGCTTGGGTGTGGGTGCTAAAAATTTAACGCCTTTGCTAATTGAAAAGTAACATGTCATACTTGGTATCAGAAAAGACATATTTTTATAACCTAATTTTAGTAC